AGAGACCTGGGGCAGACCTCCAGTTGCGTTGGTCTCTCTGGCACAGGTCAATGAAAAATAGCAGCCTTGTCCCTGCTCCCTGGTCCATGTCTGTCTGTGTTTGCAGGTTCCCTCTCCCAGCCTGTGCTGATGCAGGAGTCCTCTCTTTCTGCCTCTCTGGGAACATCAGCCAGACTCACCTGCACCCTGAGCAGTGGCTTCAGTGTTGGTAGCCATGGGATATTCTGGCACCAGCAGAAGCCAGGGAGCCCTCCCTGTTATCTCCTGTACTATCACACAGACTCAGATAAGCACCAGGGCACTGGGGTCCCCAGCCCCTTGTCTGGATCCAAAGATGCCTCGGCTAATGCTGGAGCTCTGCACATCTCTGGAGCGCAGCCTGAAGATGAAGCTGACTGTTACTGTCATGTCCAGCACAATAATGCCTATCACAGTGACACAGAGATGGGGAAGTGAGACAAAATCTTCACTCTGCTCAGGGAACTGGGTTATTATTTTTTCCGACATTAAAATAACTTTCATGTACAGTAATTATATGTGGAAGTAGCTTCTGGCTACAGAGACTTCTCNCAGAGTGCTCTGACACTGTACGGATGTCTATTTACAGTCATTTTACCTTCTTCACTGATGAGTTATTTATCATTGTATAGTAACCTCTTTGGTCTCTTGTGACAGTTTTTGAGTCAAAATCTATTATTTGTCTGATAAAAGTATAGCCACCCCTTCTCTTTTTTGGTTACCATCTACATGAAGTGTATTTTTCCATCTCTTCATTTACTGTTGCCATTTTATTAATGGTTCTTGACTGCTTTGTATCTCCCTAGCTCCTTTCTCTCTCTCTCACTGTCTTCCTTTGTGACATGGTGGTATTTTACAGTGGTTTGCTTTGATAATTTTCTCTTTATCATTCTTGTGTCTACTAGAGTTTATCTTCTTTGTGGTTACAATGAAACTTACGTGAAGTAACTTTTACTTATAACAGTCTATTAGATGTTGGTGATAACTTCAATCACATAAAAACAAATCTACCTTTTCACTTTCCTCCCAACATTTATTGTTACTGATGTCATCATTTATGTAGTTTTATATTAATTATTTATCCCCAAATGACTGTAGCAACAATTATTTTTAATATTTTTGTCTTTTCACTTTCCTACTAGAATTAAAGGTGATTTATGCACCACCGTGAATGTATCACAGGATTCTGAATTCACCTGCACCAGTGAGTCATATATGGTCATATGTTTTTATATTACTAATTAGAGTCCTTTTGTTTCAAATCGAAGAACTACCCTAAGCATTTCTTGTAAGGCAGATCTAGTGGGGATGAACTTCTTCCGATTTTGTAAGCATAGGAAAGTGTTTTTCTGTCTTTTATCTTTCAAGGACAGCCCTGCAAGTAGAGCATTCTGCGTGGCAGTTTTTTCTCACCTTTTTTTCTCTTTTCTTTTCTTTTTGTTTCTTTCAGCTCTTTGGATATAATATACCACTGTATTCTGGTGTGCAAATGTTCTGCTGATACAATTCCTGATAATGTTCTGTGGGTTCCTTTCTAGGTTATGACTTACTTTTCCCTATGTGTTTCAAACTTTTCTTCATCTTTGAAATTTGGAACTTGGTTATAATGTGTCTTGGTTTGGTTTTTGAGTCAACTCCACTTAAGAACCATTGACCTTTTTTTTTTTTTTTGACTGGTAAGGGGATCGTAACCCTTGGCTTGGTGTCATCTGCACCGCACTCAGCCAGTGAGTGCACCGGCCATCCCTATACAGCATCCAAACCCGCGGCCTCGGCACTCCCAGTGCCACACTCTCCTCAGTGAGCCACAGGGTCGGCCCAAAGACGATTGATCTTTTTGAACATGGATGTCTGTGTCCTGCCAGAAAAAGTTGTTGAATCTTGTCAAATGCTTTTTATGCAACAATTGGGAACATCATCTGCTTTTTGTACTTTGTTATTCTAATGTGGGGCATCACATTGATTGAGTCACATACATAGAACCATTTTTGGAGGGAATGGGGGAAGGAGAGAGGTTGGAGAAGGGGCATAAAGAATAATTACGATTTGTAACAATATCTATGCTAGTAATATTGCTTTAACGAACATATCTCAATGTTCAACCCCCAAAATATGTACAGTCGATTTTGATTCAATAAATAAAATAAATTTTTTTAAAAAGAACCATTTTTGCATTTGAGGAAGAAATCTAAATTCGTCATGTTATGTAATCCTTTTAACGTTCTTTGAATTTGGTTTGATTATCTTTTCTGGAGGACTTTGGTATATACAACATGGACATTGGTCTGTAGTTTTGTGTGTTTGTTTTGTTTTCTTGCAGTGTCTCTGTCTCACCTTTGCTATGACAATAATGCTGGCCTCATAGAATAATATTGGACGTGTTCCCTCCTAAATTTTTTGCAAGATTTTTAGGAGAATTTGGGTTTGTCCATCTTTACATATTTGGCAGCATTCTCCCAAACCATCTGGTCATGGGTTTTTTCTTTTCTTTTCTTTCTTTTTTTTTGTGAACAGTGGCACCGCACTCAGCCAGTGAGTGCAGCGGACATCCGTATATAGGATCTGAACCCATGGGAGGAGCGCTGCTGCGCTCCCAACGCCGAACGCTCCCAAGTGCGCCAGGGGGTCAGCCCCATGGGTTTTTTCTTTATTGAGAAGTTTTCACTACTAATAAAATCTACTTACTATTTATGTGTTTTCTTCAGATTTTAATTTTTTCATGATTCATGTACATTTTTCATTTTTATTTATTCTGAATTATCTAATTTATTGGC